ACCCCAAAAGTTAACTCAAGAGGTTGGGGTACCCAAGCTATTAAATAGCAGCACAATATAAGGCTGCATAGCCGATGTGGGATGAACAAGTCAACAAACCTCAAGCCCAAAACCAATTAAAACCCAAATCCCAATTCCAAGTATCGAGGGTGTTATTCCTGTCACTGAGCATGATCATGATTACTATTCTTGGGAAGAATTGTTATTGCAACGACGTGCGCTCTACGCGGCGAAGGATCATATATGCCCGTCAACCCAGGCTTAAAGAGGCCATGGAATGGGCATATATACTTTGGCACCGCCTCCTCCTAGTTTCTTTGTTTAGCCTTCCTTCATTTGGGCATCTCCATTATGGACTTACTTGTTTAGCCTTCGGCCGCTCTTTATAGCTTCTTAATTAACCTTTTGTTTTAGTTTATGCATTGTTTCTCGGGTGAGTTGGATATATATATATATATATATATATATATATATATATATATATATATGTTCCCTCCCCCCTTATCCATCTTTTATCTCTCTTTATATCTCGGGTGAGTTGGAGACTTGTTCCCTCCACCCCTATCTTTATTTATGCGAATAAAACTGCAATTTTTTTTTTTTAAAAAAATGTCACATTATTTTTCATTTAAAAATGATTTGAAAATAACTTAAGTCAAACATCGTAACGTGTAACGGAAAGATAATTGTTACGTTAGACGGGGGGAGTATCTTTTAAGAGCAATCCCTTAGCTCCTTTGTGCGTCTCTGGTGCATTTCATAGCAATTAAATGGTTTACATTTGGAAAGGCACTGTCAAGAGATGATCGTTGGGTGAGTAGCAACAAGCCAACAATTCCTATTTTGAATGTTTTGTCTTTCAACTCCTATTTTGAGATATAAGTAATATTTTAGTCCTATTTTACTCTTTTTTAAACAGATCTTTAACCCTTAAAATAATTGAGTGTCATATTATTGTTATTCTACTTCATATCTTGGCGTAATCTTTTAAAGATATATTATTAGTACTATTGCTCTATTAAGGAAAAAAATTATGTGTTTCCTTTGGTATTGTGTTTCCGTTACTTATACCACAGATAGCCGGCCCTATCTGTCGTATGTGCTGATCTTCCTTGTATTACTTCAAGTTGAATAAAAGTAAACAACTCCATTTGACACAATAAAAGTAAACAACTCAATTTAATTTAAGACATTGAAAAATAAATAATTATAGAAATGTTTTATGGCTTTATTAATTTATTGTTTCATTCTATCAATAAAGCGTTAAATATTTTAGTGTAATTGGAAAAAGCTATTTGACCAATGGTATCATAATAATCATCAAATAAGTTTGGTGGTACGGAGTGCACGCTTCGTTGAATTGGTTATGATAAAAGTCCCGTTTTAACAGGGGTTCCAAGGGGGCAGCATTTCTGAGCAAGGTTCAAAGGGCGGCAGCCCCTGCGGGGTCCAAGGGGCAGAGTCCCTGGCTAGGGTCGAAATGCTATGTTAAAAATTCATTTTTTATTTTGGACAAAGTGCTATTTTAAAAATTTATTTGACCAATAGTATTATAACAATCATCAAAGAAGTTTGGTGTTGCGGAGTGCACACTTCGTTGGTTTGTTATGATAAAAGTCCTGTTTTAACGGGGGTTTCAAGGGGGCAGCGCCCCCGAGCAGGGTTCAAGGGGCGGCAGCCCCTGCTGGATCCAAGGGGCAGAGCCCCTGGCTTCTCAGAAATTTTTATCTTGGACAAAGTGCTATGTTAAAAATTCCTTTGACTTTTTGATTCAAAAGGAAAATTTTCGGGAAAAATGTAGCATGTTTTTCTCAAATTCGCAAAGGGACGTGCATTTTGGATGAGAGACGCGACCGCAGCCTTTCTTCCCTTCCGCGGCTCTATAAATTCCGCAGATCCTTGGTCGCAAAAACACAGTTCAAAAATCCACATCAATCCATGCTTGTTCTTGAAAATTTTGAGGCTCATCCGTTTCATTTTTAGATTGAAAAACCAAAATAATCAATCTGAAAGTGCTACACAACTCTCAAAATGATACGCTTTATCTTCGTTTATCCCCAACATTAAGTGATTATGATCAGTTAAAAAGATTAAGTATTAACGCACCAAAAAATGTTTGGTATGGAGTCACAATGGTGGGTGGTTATATCATAACAAGCCTGATTAGTGAGGCCCTAATCCGGCTTAATTCAAAGAATTCAATTTTACGGCTTCACAAGACCACAAGTCCATAAACTTTTTCTTATATATTTTAAAAACATCACAAACAAGTGAACAAATCACATGGATATGGAATAGTAAAATCAAGTATTCATCCCGCAATTTAAATAAAACAAATATTCCTTATGTCTTAATTTATATTGCATATTTACAACAAAAATATTTAGAGGATCAAACTTTATACTTTTTCTTTAGCTATTTCATCACTTATTTGATAAAATAATATAATTATGCTAACTCTTCTTTTGTTGAACTTTTACATATTTTTAAATTTCACTTCATATTTTAAATATATTAATTGAAAACAGCTCTAGTCATACATCGTAAATAAACATTTTAATTTGGGACGAATATAGTAATACTTTTGAAAAAGAAACCTATACCAGTAATAATCAAAGTTTTTCATCATCAGAATATACAAATGATCAACAAAACTATGCAAGGAAATAAACTATTTATGACCTTCAAATAGTGAATGAGACCAGTTTTATGTGACACATGAACATGAAAAACACGTTTTTAACGAAATTGTTGTTCATGACCACCATAATAAGCAATGGCTGTTAAAAAGAAGATGACCCAATTTTCTAACCCGGTAGAGTCCCACAAAAATAGGGTCTGGTGCGTGTCATTGTGTGTAGGCAAATCTTACATAGGATGTCTACTTGTTTCCAAGAGACAATATACATACTTTATATTAATACTCCTCCGTCCCAAAAAGGTTTCCACATTATTTGTTTCAAATTTTTTTAATTTCTATAGAAAAAAATACTCCGTAAAAGTTACTCCCTTCGTCCCAATTCATAGTACCTGTTTCGATTTACGATGTTTTGACTTGAATTATTCTCAAATTGTTTAATATGAAAAAATGTATAGAGTTAAAAAATAAAAATTACATATTAAAATACTACGTCAAAAGATCTACAAAACTAGTAGTGACAATAGTACTTTATTTTATCAAATTGCTAAACAAAATAGAGAAAGAAAGTCAATGAAGTTTGACTCTGTGAATAATGTGTTATATATTTTAGTGCAATTGGAAAAACTATGACCAATGATATTAAATCATCAAAGAAGCTTGGTGGTGCGGACTGCGGAGTGCACGCTTCGTTGAGTTTTTTAGGATAAAAGTCCCGTTTTATCAGGGTTTCGGGGGCAGTGACCCCGAGCAGGGTTCAAGGGGCGACAGCCCCTGCGGGGTCCAAGGGGCAGAGCCACAAGCTGGAGTCGAGATTTGAATTTGAATATTTTATTTTTGAAATTTCTTTGAAAGAAAAATCGATAAAGATAAGTACTAATTTTTAAAGGATGCGCGTGAAGAATCACTTGCATTGGATAAAAAGACGCGATCGCGTTTTTTCTTCTCCACCGCAATTCTATATATTCCCGGAAATTCTTGGTCGAAAGTGTTTGAAAATTCACAGCAATCCCATATTCGTTCTTGTTACTTTCGATCGAGTTTTATCCGATTGAATTTTGGATTGAACAACCAAAATATTCAATCTGAAAGTGTTATACACGACTCTCGATTGATCCACGTTATCGTTAATTTCCCCAACATAGTGAACATATTTGAAAATTACGTCAAAAGTTCTACAAAACAAAGGATAACAAGAATATTTTATTTTATTAAGCCAAACAATGAATATTTTATTTTATTAAGCCAAACAATGAATATTTTATTTTATTAAATAATCAATGAAAAACTTACAAATAAACAAAGGTCCTGTCATTTTTGAACATACAATGAAGTGTGTCATTATATTCTTTTTGGGACGAATGGACGCATAAATGCTTTGCTAAGTATGAATAATGAGTACGTTGAAATACAAACCTCCAACTTCTCAATATAAATCTTCAAGCTGTAGCCCCACTAATATCCATTGTTTTGGCCACTACTGTTGGAGGTGACAATAGCAATGCATGAGAGGGAAAAGCATCAAATATCAGCAGCAAAACCCGTAGAGAATGGAAGGAATTGAGAGATTAGCTTTCAATATTGGTTTGCAATTCTTGAGACAGATGAATATGTCCCCAAAGCTGCACTTATCACCCCCACAATCACAGCTCCCACACTTGCAACCATCTGCATTATGTCAAAAATAATAATTAATAATGTAATCAAAGTTTATATACGAATACAAAAGATACCCGTGACAATGTGCAAGAACTCGTCGATATGCGTGATGAACAGTTGTTCCACATCGGTTAAATGTAAATCATCTTGCCAACATTAATATTGTAGAACTTCCCTCCCAAGGTTTACTTTCAGAGATGAAATGCCAAATCTTTACTCTTGAATTGAAGAAGTGATAGATTAATTACCTGTGTGGTTGTGACTTTCTCGCCCATGATCTTCAAATAACACACACTCGGCATGATGATCGCCTGAAATAATAATGTAATACTATAATATAATACCACTCCTATCAAATCACAAAGTACTTGCCATCTAGTCTTACAGAAGCTTAAAGACCAAGAATTGAGTAATGTAAAAAAAAGAAGGGTAACTCTTGTTGCCTTTCCAGAGATTGATGTCTTTTTTTACCCCAATGCACTCCAGCAAGATGATTATCACTTAAAGTGCATATTCATGTAGACTTTCATACTAATAGTGTCGATTTTGCAACGAACATGGTGTTGATGGTACTCATGAAATTTCAAGGGGAGTGCCAAGGAATCAATTCAACCATAGAGACGTATAGAGTAGGATGTTCTTTTAGGGATATGGAGTAATTTATAATAAATTACGAAGCAAAAGTTATCCGCGCATAGCGTATTCATATTTAGAGATTTTATGGTACTCTTATAAAATTAATTGATGCTATAAATTTGAACCCAATAGAGTTAGGAATAAGGTCATGATGGTGATCATATAGAGATCTGATTACCACTAGTATGCTTAAAAGGGAGCCAACTAAAGCCATCACAAGGCCTGCAACAAGTTTAGGAGAATTAATCAAGAAAGTAAACTTTATATTGAGGAGAGTTAATCAATGCATAAATCTGAAAGGAAATCTTCATGGGGGTTAGTATACGTACCGAAGAAAGGAAGAAGAAATGCAACACAAACAGTGGAAATGAGAAGAAGTGCCCTTAGTAGGATAAAACAACACACACTACTGGACACTCTCTCAGGCAGCAACTCCTCCAAGGCTCTAGCCAGTGGATTCATCATCAGTGCATATTTTGTGAATGGGTTGATAACCTGTTGGCAAAAAAGCAATTTTTTTAATACTGAGTAATAGTCTGCAGATAAAATCAGGTCCGGTCCAAAATTTTTGAAGGCGCCATGCAAAAATTGAAAGTATGACCTCTACAGTTTGTAGTACATAACTAGTATATTACAGTAATATTTTAACATTTGTGGATATGTACAGATAGCTTCCCTTGGAGTCCCCAAATGAGAAATGACCCAAAATATCTAGAAAGGGCATTGATGTATCTTAACCTACAAAGGAAAATGATAATGGATCCGTACACATACCGTCGTCCACACTGCAATCTTTGAAGCAATAGAATCGGGTGGCATATTCAGAGTGATCTGTGACAACGTGCTCTGACCGTACATTAAATATCCCATAATGGCCACACTCCCATACAATGTAATACACAAAATAAAGCTGCAAAGGTACCCCGGTGAATATTTCTAAAGGAGCCCAAAAAGCAAAAGAACATATAAGACCTAGTTTGAGTCTCAATCTCAATACGAACCTAAGCAATATGGTGAGAAAGTTTTCCTCGTGTACGGTGCGCGAAATGTGAGTAGTTTCTGATTAAAAAAACATTAACAATTACACTACAATGTGTGGGGTGCATTGCAAGTTATAAATGAAGTTAGATTCCGTACCATATGACCATTGCCTTGGGGAATTTCTTCTTATCTGCCATTGATTGGTAGATATTGGGAAAGACAGAATGACCAGCATAACAAAATCCATACACACCTATAGCAAATGGAATGCCACTCCACTTTACCAATTGACCTGTTTGGGGTGTTCTCATTCCATCTACTGCACTGAGTATAGCTACAGAAACCACAATGGCTATAGTTGCAACAACGCCACATGCTGCAGCAAGAAGCAAATATCAAGTATTTTATCAGATTTTAATTCAACACAAATGCTCTTTTAGGGCTTGTTTCGTTCCAAGAACACTAAGAATTATAATAGGATGAAAACGGGGGGAAATTATTAAAAGAAAATATGGCGAAAGATAGAGAAAGAAGTTTGATATGCGCACCTGAAAGAAATGATATTAGCCGAACATCCCTCAGACAAAGAGTTGGTAGAACTATTAGAGCAGTGAGAATTCCAAATAAATGGGTAGAATCTAGACTTAAACCATTCCAGTTTAAGGAAGCTCCAGGAAATAGTGTTGTGAGATTATCTCCCTCTAATATGATAAACTCAACACAGTATGTCTAAAAGAGTACAAGATTATACTTTTAGACATGAAATTAATGCTGAGAAGTGCTAAACTGAAAGCAAGAATCACTTACATATAATTCCGTAAACAAAATTATCTGTACACAAGTCAAACACAACATAGTATCAGCTAATGTATATATTACCACAGGTACACTATTCAAGATAAATAAACCAATAAAACTAAGTGAAATACATCCAAAGTAAACTTTAAAAATTTTGGCTTAAAGTGTTGGGATTTTGTTAACAGTGGCACATTGAAAAATTATAAAGAGTCATGAGTTTATATGACCTTGATTTAAACCAGCTAATCGATTGAATTTGTGAGAATTCAATATTTTAGTATGCTTTGACCCATATGCATTATGGGATTTATCGTTCGATTGAATGACCCCATACCCAATTATGAGTTCTATTGAACTCAACTTACAGATGCGATAATGCGTCCATATCTTCCAAATGCGGCCTCACCCATGTCAGGATAAGCTGTCATGCCATCTTTGCTTTCAAAACACAGCTTCATAAGAGAAGCTGTATAGCAACAAATAACAGCAAAAATAACCAAAACTGCTATGCTAGCCCAGCCAGCTTCTTTGACAGTGAATGGAGTAGAAAGAAGACCGATTCCAGCCATCACATTGAGACCTAAATAAGAATATCATTACTGCTTGATAAACATGCCAAATTAATACGGAGGAATTTAATTTCAAAAACCTTTCCATTCTTAATTACCATTGAAAACAGTTTGTGTCATGCTACACCCGTGGCTAATAGGAAGCTCTCCTGTAAGTTTTTCATGCAAAGGGGCCTTTTCAGAGCATGATGAATGTTTTGATGAGATTCCATCTCCAAAACCTTTCTGGTTGGGTTTTGTAGCTTCAGGGATCAAATTTTCTTTCTCCTCAGAGTCTACATGACTTTTATTAGTATCATATGGTGAAAAGGCAATGCTAGATCCACGCCTCAAAAGTCCCACGCCTGGTGATGCAGCAATTGAGTAAGAGTCAATTGTTTCCCTATCCACCACCAAAAGGGTTAACAAAATGAGGCACACGCTAGCACCAATGACCCTATGACTCAAAAGCAAGATGTTTTGGTACCCTTAAGCAGTTACATAACATAAATTTCAAAGCTCCCTAAAAATAAGGATTTCACATCCAAAATGTTGGATAAAACTACACTTGAAATGCTCATTGAAGTTCCAATCGTATGAATTTCTCGTTCGAGCTTAGTGAATTTCGATACGGAGTATCATATTAAGATTTGTTGCCTTAGGTTGTAGGACTTATTTTTTCTACTAATTACTTATTCTTATTAAAATCAGATTAGACCAAATCCAATCAGATCAGACCAGATCCAATCAGATTAGACCATATTCAATCAGATCAGATCAATTAGATTAGACCAGTTGCATTCAGATCAGGTCAGATCAAATTTAATAATATCACATCAAGAAAAAATGTAAAAAATACGGAGTAATATTTATATTTTCAATGATTAAATAATAATTACAATTATTTTATTAAATCACATTACTTTATTTAAAGCTACACAGACCTAAATCTTTATTATTATTATTATTATTATTCAACTACAAACTGTTATTTTTAATAATTGCTCAGCTTGTAAGAATGATACATAGAAGCAATGTTAAAGCTTAAAAAGTTGTATTTTTATACTGTAAAAAGAGTTGTTTTAAAACACTTGTTTATAAAATTATTATACAAAACATAGTTTTCAAAACCATAAATATTTTATACTTAAAAATACTTACTTTTAAACTTTAATATGGTTCGTATAATATACACAAGAGTGAGTTTATGACAAAATTGATAGAGGTGAAAGGAATATATTAGTGTTTAAGATTCTAAATGATCTTTAATTTGTATCATGAAATATATTATTATGTAATATGCATATAGAATATGATATTTTTGTAGAATAGCATCCATATTTTCTAATATTTGGTTATTTTAATGCCGGTTATTTAGTTTTCACAAAAATTAAAAAGTAATGATATTGAAAAGATGTTTAATATCTCAAAAAAAGTTTAAATATATCAATGACTAGCTGTTTTTCTTATTTTACTTTTTTATGTATATATGAATTGTAATACTTTAAACCTATTAAATTTTGTAATAATTTTAAGATTAATTTAAACCAAATTTATATTCATTTACAATAGATCTAATTAGATAAAATCAGATCAGACACAATCAGATTAGATCAGATCCAATCAGATCAGAAAAGATCTATTATGATCAGATCAGACCTAATCAGATTAGATCAGATCTGATCAGAACTTCAAACATTCATATCAGATCAAGCGTACGGAACAGCTTATTAGACAAGAGGTTCATAATTAAACACAAAAACCTAAATTCTAGTCTTCCTTGTGAATCAAACTAGGCAAACCAAATCAAATCAAACGGACACCAAAAACAACTAAAATCACTACATACATATAAAGCTTCTCTTGTCGAATTGCTGAGAACTTCTGTTTTATAAGTATATGGAGTAGTGAAGGATATGGATTTTGGATTAGAGATTCGAACATCCTCGTTTATAATGTTTTTAATTAGTCTCAGCCATTGCTGGAAAAATTAACAAGCGAAGTAATGGAAGCAATTAATAAGTGAAAGCTAATTAAAGATCAGAAAACCTGAAGCTCTGCGGCCATTGCTGAGAGAAGAACGGAGAAGACGAAGAAGAAGAAGAAGCCAACTTTTGAGCACCGATCTCGTCGTCGTCCTCACTTCCATTTCTGTTATCCTCGACATCATCGTTCTCTAGGAAGTACTCGATCAAGTCTTCATTAGCATTTTCTGCCATGGCAATGGCTATTGCTACTCTCTCACGATTGAATCAAACTGAAATTTTTTTAATATCTATGAGATCAATCATATGTGGAATGAGCCATAATGCCATATGGACCAGCTGGAGGAGTTTTGTCTTTAAACGACTCGTTTGTCATTGTACTATCCACCTGAAAATCGAAAAAAAAATATACTTTCTTATTATTTTTTTCCCGAAATCCTTAAGACTAAAATATACGGAGTAGAGAAAAGTATCAAAATATGACTTTCATATTTTTTTTCCAAAATATATAGGACTTTGCATTGTGGTAATGTGACATTTAACGTGCACATTACTATACTTTTTGACAACGTACATGACCATGATAATATAAATATATTTTAAGTCCTATTTCGAAAATAAAAATTTAGAAATCCTATTTTGGTATATTTTCAATGTTTTAATTCTACTTTGATCTTTCTCTAAAAAACTAAAAATCCACAAGATTTGACACTAAGAGCACTTGAAATACAAATATTGTTGAGGGTATTCTTCCCGATTTTAACGCCACACTGCCCCCAGAGGACGTTAAGCTGCATGCGTCAAACGTTTTTCAACGCAACCCTCTCCTCTCCCCAACGACTATATTACCGTACGGTTCCAATTTTAAAAAATTCCTCCTCTATAAATTCATAATTTTTTAAAAAATAATACCCGCCACAAACACAAATCTCTCTCTCCTCTGTCTAATCAAAAGAATTGTTCAAGTATTTCTTTTATTTTTAACATGAATCCCTTCGATTCCTCCGTTTCTCCGTCCGGTCTCGAGTCAAACGAGTATGCAATGTGGTTTTATCAAACATACGAGAATAATTTGACATTTTTTGATACGCAAACCTCGGTGAATCTAGAGGATCCAGAGTTGGTTCAAGAGACTCAACCGGAACCAACTGCAAAAAAAAAATTACAGGCCGGAAGAGTCACAAGCGAAAGACTGACAAGCCAATGACCGAGGCAGAACGGTTCATTCAAAAGTGGACACCAAATGAAGAATCGTTGTTGGTGTCCGCTTGGGTTGACGTCTCGGAGCATCCTATCGTTGGTAAAATTTATATTTTTTAAATATATATTGTATATATTTTTTTATATTTGTGTTAAACTATTTTTTCATTCAATTATATATTTCTTAAAGGTTCTGATCAAACGAAGGATGCGATGTCGTATCATATCGAGGAGAAGTTCTTTGTTGCGATGAACAAAGACGTCTCCTACCAACTCGTGACCAACTCACTTCCAAATTAGGTTGCATCAACCAAAAAGTCTGAAAATTTATTGAGTTTACGAGGAATGCTCTCGGTCCCGGAAGTACGGGATGAATAATGATGTCGATGTTTTATCCAGCAAGCTACCACCCCGTATCAAAACGATGGACACCAAGGCAAAGCCCCGTCGATCGTTGAACAATTTTTAGCCGTTCACTGAAGTGACAACGCTAGAATGTATGCCACCTAACAATAACTCTGTTGTACGTTTTCTTTTTTCTATTTAAACATTGTAGTTGTTAAAACAGAGTAATAACTTCTAATTTTTTTCCAGAAAAGGACTAAACTAAAAATCAAACACAGAAAAAGTATCAAAATAGGAGTTTATATTGTTTATCTCCAAAATAGGAGTACATTACTAATAATGCAAATATATAGACATATAGTATCAAAAATATAGTGATATGTAAATATACAATGTCATAATGTTAGAGTGTAAACTCTTATTTTGAGGAAAAAACATAGAACTCTTATTTTGATGATAAATGTTATGTTTTACTCCTAATTGGGGTAGTTTCTTACTATTTCCCAATAATTTCTATCCATTACAAACGGATTCTCGTATTAAAAAAATGAAATTTGTGCTTTACTATTTTGTATGGTATATAAATTTTGACTTATAAATAAACTACAATCATACACTTTTAATATTTATTAATTTCTATAGTACAAATAATTTTAAAAAAATTAAATTCTTTCAATAGTTAATTACAATTCAGGATTTTATCAAACTAAAATTTTTGAATATCTATGAGATCAATCATATATGGAATGAGCCATAATGCCATATCGACCAGCTGGAGGATTTTTGTCTTTAAACGACTGGTTTATATATTGAACTTAATTGGTATATGAGATCAATCATATATGGAATGAGCCAAAAAAGTAAACTCAAGTGAAGTATAAGTGTAAATATACAACTTTTGTTAAATTTGTCACAACTCCGGCAAAGTTATGTAATAAAACATGAAAATTTTAAAAATACAAGCATTGCTTAAGGACGAAATATAATCCTTCCCTCCTAAAATTTTCTTTCGAATTTGCTTTTCACCATCTCCCATGTATAATATTTTCACTATTAATATCTCTATTTGTATAGGTACATAGATATATTTTATAAAGAATTTATACTTCAAAGGTACGTTTCAAAAGAAATTTATTGATATTACGTTTATACGAGTATTATAACACAATATATTTTTCGTATATCGAGGTCAAAGTCGAATCAAATAAAAATTTCTAGCTGGCCGAGGGGAGTAAATAAAACTAATACATTTATAAAATATACCTCGTCTTAGTACAATTCGGTTCAGAATTTTTAGTATGAGAAACTACTTCGTACGCTCCCAAATACCAATCCGACCGTCTAGTCCGGTTATTGCTGTTTGTTTTTTCTTCAGTATGTTTCAATTGGATAAAAATGAATAAATAAGTGAAATATGTATTAATTTTGATATGGTATATCACCAATATATGGAACACGTAAATTTTGTATACACATATTAAAAAAGGGAAAATTTCCAAAATGTTACGTGTACTTAATAAATATGTGTTTTCCCAATCCAGTCTCCAAAGTTAATTAATTCTTGAGATGGTGTTAATTGAGAATAATGCTTTATTACAACCTCCCCAATTAATGATCGTTAAGACAACGTTAAAAACGATCTTAAACATTATACTACTTTCCCAAAATGGTAATCTCTAACTGACTGTTTTCTCAATTTGGTCCATTTTTGAAATAAAAATACATTAGTTATGAAAAAATATTTTAAATTTTATAGGATGACAATATAATACTAAAAACTATAAATATATTTTATAAATTTGAAGTTAAACGTTTTGGATTATTTACAATTATTTAGAAGAATATCATGTAAATAAAGGGAATACTCCCTAGACAGAAGTAAAAACTTATGAAAATACTAAAATAGGAGCATATGTTTTTAAGACCAAAATAGAAATTCACACTATGATTGTTACATTGTCATATTGTAACTGCCACACTAACACCACTACATTGCCATCTGTTGTCGTCAGCCACCATAGTGTCGTCGCAGATTATCGATGTTGACTTATCACATTGATATTTTACACTGTCATCCCATTTTCATCACACTTCCAATGCATACTCTTACACTATACTGTCATTACACTCTTATTTTAGTCTTAAAAGACTTAAAATTCTTTTTTTTGGTATTTTCACACATTTTTACTCCTATGTAGAGAGATTTCTTGTAAATAAAATGTTTAATAAATGTTAAAAAATCAACATAAATAGGAGTAAAACATAAATAAAGAGCTTCTATTTTGACACTTTCTTGATGAAAACACATAGTTATTGAGTACCATTTTGAGAATTTAGTCTTAAAAAACTTCTTAGAATGATACTCCCCCGTCTCACAAAACATTTTTTTTTGAATTTTAAGGAATTTAAGAAGAATGTATTTTGGTATTGACTTTCTAAAAATGTCCTTGAATGTGATAGGTAAAAATAGAAAAAAGAAAAGAGAAAGATTTTGTGGGACGGAGGAAGTATGTGTGGAATACAATACCTTAATACATAACTCCCACCAACAAGCTAGCTTTTAGCATTTAAAACGTGAGCTTAATTATACTCTATACGTCCCCAAAAACTCTTCTCATTTCTTTTTTCATCTGTCTCAAAAAGTTTTCTCATTTCTACTGTAATAAAAAGCCACTTTTACTCAAATTATTTTTGACCTACCTATCACATCACATCTATTCACTATTAATTTACCTATCAAATCATACTTTTACCCATCATATCCAAAGATATTTTTTGAAAACTCAACACCAAAATACACTTCACTTAAATTTCTTAAAACTTGAAACCTCTATATTCTTAGGAATGGAGAAATTAAAGTACTCCGTAAGTAATAACCCAAAGTAATTTTCGTGAGGGCTAAGCAATGTAATTAAATGCACACATATTCCACTCTTCCATCAATATAATTCCCAACCTCCATTCTAAGTCTCCTACATTTGTACCCATACATATATATATACGTTACGTGCTTACCCCGCCCGGCCTGTCCCCTCCCTTATATATATGTTTCTCTACCTGGCACACTTTTAGTTTTAACATTAACCCATCTTCTGATCTTCTCTTTTTTTTCTTAAAATTTTAATTTCCAGCACAAAAAATTCAGGCCATGGGCCAAACCCTTCAGAAATTGGGTCTCTCTCTCTCTCATCTCTATATGTGTGTGTGTGTGTGTGTGTACATTTTTATGGTGTTTAATGTATATGTATATGTATTGTATATGCAGGAAAGGATGATAATGGGAATGGTAGAGAAATAGGGCCAATGATAGACGAGTGCTATGACAAATACTTCGTGGGCATTACTGCAAATTGGAGCCCTGCCGATTTCTGCCACGCCATTTGCCAAACCGTCGAGTAATTATATTCTACTTTATTTATTAAATTATAATGTCTGGTGGGAAGAATAATATCAAGTGATTGTAGACATTTACTTGAATAATGACTAATGGATAATGACCAATGGTAGTACAATTAAAAATAAAAACATATGGTCCTATATTTGAAAAATCATTATGTTTTAGTCCTATTTAAGTAAATTACCTTTTTAGATTTAAATAATGTACAGTAATTAAAAAGTCTTTTCGTATCCATGAGAATTATATTCTCTCTATGGTAAAATGTACTCCCTCAGTCCACAAATAAACTTCCCGTTTTGATCGGGCACGCATATTAATGCGTGATAAAAATTGCTTTGACTTTCCTATTATACCCCTGCACCCTCGCGGATCTATTATTCTAGATCTGTTTTGTATATTCCTGTTGAAGACAACCCGGAGGAGGATGAATCTCTTTCATTTGAGGTTTTGACGGCAAGAGGTGAGGGTAGGATTAACGGAGGCTTTGTAGATCTATGGAATTGATGGCGGCTATGTCGGAAGAGAAGCAAATCCGAACGCCGCGTCAACTCCGACCAGTGCCGATAGAAAAGATTCAATTCAAAATTCAAATGCTTAGAGCTAATTCCAAATAGGACTTGTGTGTGTTTGGGAGATTAGTTAATTTGTATCCTTGTTGCCCATTTTGAATCGGACGGGATCATGTCCGAGTCGTGGTTCAACCGGTCAGTCTGATTTTCAAAACATAGTTTTTAACTCATCGTCAATCTTATTATGATTTTTATAGTGACAAATCAAAAACTAAATGCACCATAAACTTTAATTTTTAATTTTAAAATTACAGAGAGAGTCAGTTTAGCTCAAACCCACAAACCGGTCAAGTTGATCTGGGTCACCCGGTTCGTCGAGTTAGACTGGTTTGGGCGGATTGTTAGGAAAGCGGGTTTACTAAATGAATCAGATTGGATCCTTGTCCGGTTCGTGGTCCAACCGATCATATCAGACCGGCCGGTCTGATTTTCAAAACACTGCTTTTAATTCATCATCAACCTTATTACTCCCTCCGTCCCTAAATAAACTTCCTTTTTTGACTTTTTGAGGGTTTAAGGGAGGGATATTTTTGTGTTACTTTCCAAAAATACCCTTGATGTGATGTGTAAAAGTAAGATGTGATATATAGATTATTAGTAAAAAGGTATGATGTGATATGTAGGGTATGAAAAAGTAAAGGGTAAAAGAGGTTTTTTAAGGAAAAAGAGAAGTTTATTTGGGGACAAAGAAAAAACAAAAGGGAAAGTTTATTTAGGAACGGAGGGAGTATGATTTTTTTTTGATAGATAAAAAAGTGAAGGAATATGAACATATTTTATGTCTATTTTCATTTTTAAAGTATTAACAATGATCACTTGAAAAAGAATAGAGAGAGTAATGCGTTGATATTTTGTGGCTTGTATATATATATATATATATATATATATATATGTATGTATGTACAGAGATATTAACGCATGCATAGGCAGCACACAGATTCGGGTGCCCAAAGCTGAGACGCTTGAGCTAGCATACAAGGTACTCACTTCCTCAGCTCCCAAAAATATTATTAATGTCATGTTTGTTATACTCCCTCCGTCCCAAAAAGATTGGTACATATTGACTTTTTAAGAAATTAAGAGAGGGATATTTTGGTGTTTACTTTCTAAAAATACCCTTGATGTGATGAGTAAAAGTAGGATGTGATGTGAAAGGTATGATGTGATAGGTAAGTTATGAAAAATCTATGATGTGATAGGTAGGGTATGAAAAAGTAAGGGGTAAAAGTGGTTTTTTAATAGAAATATAACGGACTTCACATGACGCAGTTTTTTCGAAACGTGTCGGACTTTTTGGAACGGAGGGAGTATATTTTAGTGTAATTGAAAAAACTATTTGACCAATGATATCATAATAATCATCAAAGAAGCTAAGTTGTGCGGAGTGCATGCTTCGTTGAGTTTGTTATGAAAAAAATCTGCTCCCATGGCAGGGGTTCGGGGGCAGCGCTCTTGAGCAGGGTTCAAGGGACAGTTACCCCTGCGGGGTTCAAGAGGCCGAGCCCCTGGCTGGGGTCGAGATGCTATAGACCATGCTACATTCAGATCAATGCATGTATATGTGTAATGTGTGTTTCATAGTGTCAAACTTTGGTTTAAAATAAATAAATCTACTTGTCATTACACTAATCGTTTTGAAATTCCCATTCAGAAACATCACAAAGAGGAAGGCAAAAAATTGAGCAAGGAAGAGTTTCAGAAGATACTCCAAGAAATAATAATGGAGGCGGGCGTGACGGGGATTGGCGCCAAAGACATACTCTTCTACCTCTTTGGTGTCCCCGTCACGGCTCTGTTTATCAAGCAAAGAATCCTCCCCGCCTCCGCCGTCCCCAACGAGCTCTTCATCCCCGCCATCACTTCCGCCACCGTCTTCCTCCTCGCCAAACTCAACAAGATTTGATCCAATCCATTTGTTTTAATTACTAATTTCCCTGTGTAAAGAAGAATCATTTACTTCGTATTTATTTTAGTTTCATATATATTCTCATGGCATTCACCTTAGCTGGTTGAGAACTAGAGATACTTATTACATTAGGAGAATTTATCTATATCATATTAAAACATAGTCTATTTCCAATATAGTTCTAATTTCTCAGTATAGTACTAATGTTCAATGTCCACTGGACATTGTTTAAGTGAATGTCAACCATCACTGAACATTGTTCAAGGTCATCCGGGAGGCCACGTAGGGTTTGGAGAACAAGTTGGTTTTCGGTGACTGGGGCATCTACATCTTCCAGCCAATTGGCAATATTCCGAAGGGTTTGACACTAAGTTGTGATGGTGGACGTGCCTTTGACAGTGTTGTAAAATTGGTGCTCCAATTGCATAGCTCTGGCCGCCTTGTTGTCATGAAATAGGTTGTGTATAGTAGCTTTCCATAAATCTACTGTAGATGTGGTGGAGGAGAGGATGAGATCAGAAACCTCATCGTTGATGGTTGAAATTAAAGAATCCATCCTTGAATAAGGGCATCTAGTTGAAGCCATTCAATATCATCTTTCCCGGTGGAGGTTTTCTCACCGGTGACGAAGCCTTCAAAATTGAACCGTCTGACCAAGAGAAGAAAGAGACGACTCCAAAGTAGTTTGGTTCCGAGAAATTTAGAGTGATGCGTACTTGTAGTTTGACATTAGAGACGATCGTAAAAGCAAGATGAAGGGGTATTTGCAGCGGTGGTGGAAGAAGAGATGGATTTTTCCGATGACATGTTTGACAAAGAGAGAGGGAGAAGGCGCTAGTGAAGGAAAGGGACCAGCGACTCCTTCGCCGGAGAGGGGAGATGACACGGCGGCAACAAGAGGGAGAAGGGCTGCGCTGTGAAAGGTTGAGAGAGGAGGTGGTTCGGGCTAGCCTAGGATTGGCTTCGATACCATGGAGAATTGTATATTTTCAATGATGATTACAAAAAATTTACCTCCACTTATATACATGTAGGAGGGTGTAGTATAAGGAAACAACATTAAATGGAATCCTATACATCTATGGAATCTACCATATACTCCCTCCGTCCCAAAAAGATTTACATCTTTCAAAAACATTGTGTCCCACAATCTCCTACCCGTTTCTATTAAAAACCACTTTTACCCCTTACTTTTTCAAACTCTACCTATCACATCATACTTTTTTCCTAATAATCTACACATCACATCCTACTTTTACCCATCACATCAAGGGTATTTTTGGAAAGTCAACAAAAAATTATCTCTCCCTTAATTTCAACTTTAGTCAAAACGTGTAAATCTTTTTGGGACGGAGGTAGTATATAATAATCATAAAAAATATGGAATATTATCTTAACATATTCAACAAGTAGTATTATCATTTTATCAATAATCTTTTTGAGTTTTTCTCATTCTCATCTTAACTCGGGGTATTACATTTACCCTCACTTAGGCATGCAACATCCTCGTTGCATCTTTTTTTTCACATTCCACGCTAGGTGAACTAACCTCTCATGACCCGTCACGGTCGCAGGGTTGCTCTAATACTATTTGTAATACCCCGGCTCCCACCCTGGCTGTAAGTGTCTGCTCATAGGATTGTGGACTAGCTTTAAAAACTAACACAAGTCTTTTCTGCATACTTTGTCCTCACTCATGTGCGCCTAAGGAATTTCCAAAGGGAGTCACCCATCCTAGTATTGCTCCAAGCCAAGCACGCTTAATTTTAGAATTTCTAAGTGATGAGCTCTAAAAAAAGATGTACCTTGTTATTATGAGTAGTACTATCAATCTTTTTGAACTCTAGATTTGGTCGTTTTTGTAGTAGTGTCTTCTATTACACAAATACCCCAATATAGTTGTTCGAATAACCACATAAAAAATTGCCCAATAGTCACAAATAGTAATAAGATGATTTGTATACTTAAAAGAAATACTTTTGTATTGACCAAGATAATCCCAACAGTATAAGAATATATATTTTTGTTAACCCAAAATCATATAAATTCTCATATTGTTTGATAATAATAAGTCACGTCTTACTTAATAATTAATAATGAAGGATACATCCCTATGGATTACAAGAGAAAATTCTAATCTAAGTCGGAAAAGAATTATTATAACAATACAATAAAGAAATAATGTAATACTCCCTTCGCTTCTTTAAACCCTTCCCATTTTGAATTTGAATCAAAATAAAGAAATTGTAATTTTGGTTAACTTTCTAATTTTTCCCCTGATGTGATGGTTAAAAGTAAGATGTGATAGTTTTATTATTAGTGAAAAATATGATGTGATAGGTAGAGTATGAAAAAGTAGGGGTAAAAGTGGTTTTTAATAAAAAGTTGAAGTGTTTTAAGGAATTGGAAAAAACTGAAAAGGGAAGGGTTTTATGGAACGGAGGGAGTAAGAAAAATAAGAAGTAATAATATTCTATTTTCTCCGCAAGCTGATCATTGGTAACGAGGAACGGCTTGGAGCATAGGTTCTGGAATTGAGCCGCTAGAAGCTATTTTGTGATGATAGCCCCTAGAAGTATAGAGTCAAATCTTTATTGCATGACGAACAAGCTTTAGATTATGTTTGCTGAGTTTTTTTAGGTGATAGTGTTTGCGATTAGAGCGAGGGCAAGAGTTTCTTTTTTCCTTTTCGACTGTTCTCTACTTCTCTTATCGCTTTACATGCTCTCGAACTCTATAAAAACACAAGCAAATACAATTTTCCTGTTCATTAATCATGGACATGATTTTTTAAAGAGAGAGAAATAATGGCTTTTTGGAGAGAAAGAGAGGGATAATGGATGGTGGCTATTAGGCACACTCGTCAAGATCGGTCGGTGACCGGTGATGTGCTCGGTCGAAAAAAAGAGTCTAGGTTTTTTAGCACCTTATATTAGCTTCGATATAATGATGCAATTTGATAATAATTGATCTTATTGGATAATGAAGGATACATCCTTATATATAGGGTCTACAATACAATAAGGACATAATATAATAAGGAAGATAATAAATAATACTCCCTCCGTCCCACAAAACTTTCTTTCTTTCTTTTTTTCATTCGTCTAAAAAAACTTTTCTCATTTTTATTAAAAAATCAGTTTCACCTCTACTAATTATTAACTGACATATCACATCACAATTATTCAATATTAATCTACTCATCACATACTAGTTTTATCCATCACATCTAAGATCATTTTTGGAAAATCAACACCAAAATATACTTTTCTTAAATGCTTTAAAAGTCAAATCAGAAAGGTTTTGTGAGACGAAAGGAGTAATATTCTATTTCCTCTTACATCTATTATTCCTATATATCCTTGTTTTCTCAAATGCAGCTTGAATAATTAGAGGTAATTGGTGAGAAGATGTGGTTTAAATTAAAAAATTGGTTCCCCTAAAAGAAAAAGATCCTTAAAATTAAAAGACAACAAATTAGAAATCAAATCTATTCTACACAAGACAAAACTTGAACGGTAGGTGTTGTTTTGTGATTGAATGATTGAGGTTTGATTCATGTCTTCTATCCCCTTCCCTTCCATTTTCTTGTGTCATCCCTTGTAAGGAGGAGAGCTAAAGGCTGCAAAATAAGCGGAAACAAAAAGAAAAAGACTTTATTCCATTTCTCTTGCATGCATGCATGCTCTACTTTTGCATGTCTAACAATTTAATAACTATAAACTAATACATACAAATACTTTCTTAAAAAAACTAGGTTCTCCTAAGAGAATTAATGAAAGATGTGATAGCTAGATGGGCATATTCAATGTGGATTTGAAGGAGAGAAAGATTTTCCCGACAGACAGGAAGCTCGCAGGGTGGAGATCGTCGAAGACAACAGAGGCAGCGACATCAGACAGCGGCAGCATTAGGCCTAGGAGGTTGTCGGTTGATGGGAGGATCGATGCGAGTAATGCCGAGTGCATGGTAGATAGAGAGTTTGCCAGGGCACGATTGTCGGACGTCGGTGGTGCTTCCACTAGCACGTCATTCACCTCTGATGACTCGTTCATGATGCACCATAACGACCCGGGCTTCCTCAGGGGAAGCCCTATTCGGATCCCCAAGGTTGTCAAAAAGCAAGGAGACACCATTTGTAAGGGCCACAAGAATTATGAGCTCATGCTTAATTTGCAGCTAGGGGTCAGGTGATTATTTATTTAATTAGTCCTTATATTTTTACTTCCTCCTTTTCATAGCTTTATTCCCATTTTGATTTTTGTGGTCCTATATATGCTTAGAAACAAAACACTTTTTAAAAAAAGTAATACTCCCTCTCGCAATTTTTGTTCAATATGATCTTTAATTTCACAGTATTAAATGTAAGATTTTGATCATTAGTATTTATATTTATAGATTGATATATATTATACTCCTTCCGTTCTTAAAAACACTTCCTCTTTCATTTTTTCCACTTCCAACAAAACACTTCCCTTTTCTATTAAAAAATCACTTTTACCCTTACTTTTTCATACCCTACCTATCACATCATATTTTTTCTCTAATAATCTATCCATCACATCTTACTTTTACCTATCACATCAGGTGCAAAATTGGAAATCAACTACTCCGTATAATTTAACACTTCCTTATTTTCGTCCCAAATCAAAAATGGGAATTAAGTCTTTTTGCAAACGGAGGGAGTATAAAAATTTAATACTCCGTATTTCAAAGCTACGTTTCAAAAGAAATCTATTGATATTATATTTATATATCATAACACTATATTTTTTCGCATATAGAGGTTAAAAATAATTTTTACCACAATGCAACCACACTATATATACTTGTACATGCATACTTTTAAAGAAAATTTTAGTTGGTTCATATTTTTCTAGATCACTTCTATGCATTATGCATAAAAAAAAATACTGACCTCATTATTTACACTCCTTCCATATATATGTCATTCCAAGAAAAACATTAATTATTCACCACTTTCGTTCTCTTTTTGAATCTTTGAAAAGAAATATTTCCCATTTACTACATATTTTTAGTAATGAACAACTTTTATGATTGAGTGTGTATAGGCATGCGGTGGGAAGGCCTGGCCCGGCACCGTCTCTAGATCTGAAGCCATCGGCTTTTGATCCGAGAGAAAAGTACTGGACGAGGTTTCCCCCGGAGGGAAGCAAAAGCACGCCGCCTCATCCATCATGCGATTTTAGATGGAAGGATTACTGCCCCAAGGTTTTCAGGTACGTACATTGTTTGTGAGTTGGATACATCAAGCTAATAAAGATCAGTGTGCCCCAAAGATCACTTGGGTGTTCGATGTGGGATTTTACATCGTCAACAATTTGTGTTATCAGGGCATTGAGGATGTTATTCAAGGTGGATGCTGCAGACTACATGCTCTCAATATGCGGGAACGATGCCCTCAGAGAGCTATGTTCCCCGGGGAAAAGTGGAAGCTTTTTTTACTTGACGAACGACGATCGTTACATGATCAAGACCATGAAGAAGGCCGAAGTAAAGGTACAAACTTAGTGCTGAACTAAAAAATGGGTCTTCATAGTGTTTCATAAAATTATATCTCGAACAGAACCATCTCTGTTAGAGTTGTCCCATATCGGAAAAGTAAGAAGAAATTAAATGGTATATAAGCTCTTAAGTTGCACTAAGAGCATGCTTGGCACTGTGTTGTTTTTCATACCCCATCCTAAATTTATCAATTTCTTTTTCATACTTGCACGAGATGAGTCATAGAAAATGAAAATACAAAATCATCAGCTTGCTCCTTAATTACTACTACAATGTTAAATTAATTAGACATGTTTCGTTTAATTTGTTGTTTCTAACTATTTTTAATTTTCTACGAGTATTTCTTATGAGCGACTTTAATTTAATTAATCTTAGTCACTTAATTTATTTTAGTACAACTCAATCTATTATGTTTTCTTAGAAAAATAAACTTCCCTACTCATAGGTGCTTTTGAGGATGCTAAATGCATATTTCAATCACGTGCGCTCATTCGAGAACACGCTCGTGACCAAATACTTCGGATTACATTGTGTTAAGCTAAGTGGAACTGCCCAAAAGAAGGTAATTTTTAAACAGTTATTTAAGCACAAACAAAAGTTTACTCCGTGGGTCCATAATTTATCTTCTCACATTCTTTAATTTATTTATTCATTCACAAATTATTTTTCTGTTACCTTTTTTGACAAATATTTTTTCTTTAAATTACATCACTACCCTCACTTTTACCCATTAAATAGGTTATGTTCTCTCCAACTTATTTTTTTCCTAATTACTCCCTCTGTCTTAAAATGTTCTTACAAGATACTTTTCACAAGGTCAAACTTTAATTACTTTTTTTTACCTATTTTCATTAGGTGTTTGATAAAATAATATAGTCTTGTCACCACTTATTTTGTACTCCCTCCGTTCCTATAAACCCTTCCACTTTTGACTTTTGGCAAAAATAAGGAAAGTGTAATTTTGGTTGACTTTCCATTTTTGCCCCTGATATGATGGTTAAAAATAAAATGTGATAGTTTGGTTATTAGTGAAAAAGTATGATGTGATAGTTAGGGTATGAAAAAGTAAGGGTAAAAGTGGTTTTTTAATAAAAAGTGGAAGTGTTTTAGGGAATTCAAAAAAAACGAAAGCGAAAGGGTTTTGTGGAACGGAGGGAGTAGAACTTTTGATGTACTTTTTAAATATATAAATTTTATTTTTTAATTTTACTCCTACAATCAAATAAATTAAATTGAAAATAAAGTCGGTCAAACCTCGTAAACACAAATGGGAAGAACATTATATGATGGAGGGAGTACATATTCTTATTAGAATCAGATCAGACCAGATCAGATTAAATCATAAATAACTTTAAATATAATTATATTTAGATCAGATTAGATTGGACAAGACCAGATTAGATCAGATTTGAATGTAGTTTTATTTAAAACCATTTCTGAGTAAAAAATAAGTTGGGGAGAACATGACCTTCCTATCCATACATACACTTTATTTCACTTTTTTCAATGATCTAAGAATAAATATGAAAGTCAAAACATTTTTTATATTTTCTTAATTTGTATGTAAAGTCAAAGCGAGGAGACAATTTTTGGACGGAGGGAGTGTATAAGAACATGTTTGTGAACTCATTGACTTTGCGATGGTAAAGTCAAAGGAGAGGCAAATAACATTTTCTTTTCTTTTCATTTTGATATGGACACAATCAGGTGCGGTTCATCATCATGGGAAATCTGTTCTGCACAGAATATACGATACACAAACGGTTTGACTTGAAAGGGTCAACTTTCGGGCGGTTGACGGATAAGCCCGAATCCGAGATCGATGCCACCACCACTCTCAAAGACCTTGATCTCAACTTTGTATTTAGATTGCAGAAATCATGGTTTCAAGAATTTCGCAGGTAATTAAATCATTAATCAATAATATATTGTGTGTTAATTTATAGAGAAAAAAGTGTATCGTTTGCGCACAAACTCTTTGGAAATTGCATGATTTACTATTCAACATTAAAAAATATGCACCGTTTACCCTCGAACTTTTTGAAAATTGCACGATTACCCTCCAACCATATTAGACCTTTGACCTATAATTATTTTTGTATCAATACTTAATATTTTAAAATAACGGTCAAAATTTATCAATTTTAATTATAAAAAATCAAAACTGAACAGATAGTGAGGAACAGATTTAATAAAAGTTAGAAAAATGAGGTTGAATGTTATTTGTTCAATCAGGCAAGTGGATAGGGATTGTGAGTTGTTGGAGCAGGAGAGAATAATGGACTATAGCCTCCTTGTTGGTCTTCATTTTAGAGAAGCAACTACTCCCGGAGACCAAACCCCAACCGACTGCATGACACCAACGGGTATGCCCTCTCTTGAAATTCTTTCCTTATTAATTAATTTTTGGATAATTTAAGGGAGAAATATTTTTGTTTTTCCTTTCTAAAAATATTATTGATATAATAGATAAAAGTGGGATGTAATGAATAGATTATTTTTAAAAAGATATGATGTGATTGATATGGTAAGAATTAGTAAGGGTAATTGTAGTTTTATAAGAAAAAAAGAAAGCAGAAAGAGTTCAAGGGACGAGGGAGTGTGTGCTAAGATTTGCAATGTCATATGTGTAGGAATTTTATATGGAGTTAAAGAATTTGGTGAATGAAGAACAAGATTAACAACTTGATAGATTATAACGAATCGTTTAGAACGCTTTCCGATCAAAATTATTTCAAGGTATACTACATTCGTTTGGGCCATGGGCTCTTCTCCCTTGGACCCCGCCAGGGGCAGCCGCCCCCAGACCCCGCTATGAATTTATGATATCGTTAAACGACCGTGAACTCTACACATCCTAAATCGTTTGAGAATGTCTATTCAAATTTTTGTCTGATTTAAGTAAACCCGATTATACAAAATAGTTAATGACTCTAAGATCACGAATAACATGAGTCTTCATAATAATTTTTTCTACATAATGCGCAGATAATGAAGGAGGCTCGGAAACTGAATCTGTTGCTCGTCTATCTCGAGCCGAGATGGACCAATTGCTCGTGGACCCAGCGGGGTATGATGATGACTATTTTATTAGAACCTGTTTGGGAACAGCGCTAGACATTAGCGTTAGCGTTTTGAAAAGGCTATCTACGACAACATTTAACGTTCACATTTTCAAATTAATCTGCACCATTGAAATTTTATCCAAAACGCTAACGCTGATCTCTAAGGCTATTCCCAAACAGACCCTTAATATACTTCATCTATCTTATATACCAGTCTAGTTTAACTTATATACGGATTAGATATGAAAAACCACATGTACTAGGAATCATTTACATACGGAATAATTTACTCATAAAGAAAGAAGCTAAGAGACTCCCTCAATCACTCAAAAATCATTTCATTACGCGTTACGATGTTTGACCGATTGTATTTTCAATTCAACTTATCTAATTGCAGGTGTAAAATTTCAAAAATAAAATTTACATAGTAAAATACTATATTGAAAAATTTTACGAGAGTATAATACTTCATCCGTCCCAAAAAGATTGGTACATATTGACTTTTTGGGAAATTAAGGGAGGGATATTTTGGGTGTTGACTTTCCAAAAATATCCTTGATGTGATGGGTAAAAGTAGGATGTGATGGGTAGATTATTAGGAAAAAGTATGATGTGATAGGCATGGTATGAAAAAGTAAGGGGTAAAAGTGATTTTTTTAATAGAAATGTTATGGATTTTATGGGACACAGTTTTTTCGAAACGTGTCGGACTTTTTGGGAGGGAGGGAATAATTTAAGGTGATTATTGTGTTTTAAGTACGTACAGGTGGTCAAGTATAAGCTTGGGAATAAACATGCCGGCGAGGGTGGAGAGGACGGAGAGGAGAAGCGATGCAGCGGAGGTGCAGCTGGTGGGGGAGCCGACGGGGGAGTACTACGACGTCGTTCTCTTCTTCGGGATCATAGACATTCTCCAGGACTATGACATTACCAAGAAGCTGGAGCATGCTTACAAGTCCATACAGTACGATGCCAACTCCATCTCCGCCGTCGATCCCAAGGCCTATTCCCGCCGCTTCCGTGACTATATCTTCAAAGTCTTTGCTGAAGACTGATTTTTAATTACAGTAATTCGCTTCCTGCATGGGTTTCTTATTAGCTTTCTCCCTCCCTCCCTCGAGTTTTTCATAATGGTCACTAATCATTTTATTATTTACTTACATGCCACTATATATAGTTTCACCCCATGTATTTCACAAAATACGTAGTACTACCTCCGTCCCATTTTATAACGTCTGTTTCGGTTTACGATGTTTGACTGAAATTATTTTCAAATCATTTTATATGACAAATGGTATAAAATTAAAAAATAAAAATTGCATTTTAAAAAACTACATCAAAAGATCTACAAAACTAGTAGTGACAATAATATTTTATTTTACTCCCTCCGTCCCATGAAACATGGGACTTTTGCTTTTTAGGAGAGATTTAAGGGGAGTGTATTTTGGTATTGAATTTCCAAAAATGTCCTTTGATGTGATGGGTAAAAGTATGATTTGATGGATAGATTATTAGTAAAAAGGTATGATGAAATAGTTAGGGTATGAAAAAGTAAGGGATAAAAGTGACTTTTTAATAGAAATGAGAAGTGTTTTTTAGGGCGGATGAAAAAAGAAAGGAGAAAGGTTTCTTGGGACGGAGGGAGTATCAAATTGCTAACGAAAATAGAGAAAGAAAGTGAATGAAGTTTGACCCTGTGAATAGTAAACATGCATTATAATTTGGGACGGAAGGAGTATATAGTTACTCCCTCCCTCCTTTAGTGTGTGTGTCTAATTTAATTTTTTCGAGTCTAACATGACATATTTTGAGCATCAATTAAACAAAAATTGTTATGTATATCATTATAAAAATGATTTTGTTAGATTTATTTTATTGGGAAATTTTAAAAATTTATTTGAATAAACTAATATCCAATATATATATATATATATATATATATATATATATATATATATATATATAGTAATTGATGTTTAAAGTTTGTTCATTTTGAATCGAAAAAATTATATTGGACAAATACACTGAAACGGAAGTATTAATCATTATCTAGTCGCACAAAAGATTTTCTGTGTGTTTGTGTAAAATATTTGTGGTGCGGAACTCTATTGTCAAATTTTAGTGTCAATTACTAGGTAGTGTTAATGTGTTATATGTATCCACACACACAAATCTAACACAATTGAGATATTGTGTTGACATAATAGGGAACTATAACTACACCCCCACTCTTTTAACTTTGATTTAGGGCCTGTTCTTTAATACTGGAAAACAAAGTTGGATGTTGGAAGGAACTGAAAAAAACAGGAAGAAACTCGAAGGAACTGAAAAAAAATAGAAGGAATTGGAAGAAACTGGAAGAAACTGGAAAACTTCAAAAAAATTGAAAAACCTAAAAAAAAGTCAGGTATTCAGCTTCGTTATTATGTGTTGGTAACTACGAAGTGGTATAGAAAAAAAGAAAATAATGTTCTAGACAAAAAAAAAATTAAATTACATATCAACTTAAAAGATCTTTAAAATATGAATTCTAGATTATATCAACTTTAAGATTCTCTAATTTTTTTTATCTAAAACACTATTCATAATTCATCGGATTAAAATATAAACATTTTATTTTATCAATTTTAAAACATTATTATTTAAAATCGACATGGAGGAGGGTAATTATAACGTACTCAAGGTATTTTTTATTTTTGTAATTAATAATCAACATATACTTAATAATTATCAGTCATCATTTAAAATGTCAGGTATTCAGCTTCGTTGGCAGCCTGGAGTATTGGTGTCAAATTGAGTAATTTCTGAAAACAGTGATATAAATTATACTCCCTCCGTCCACAAATAAACTTCTCGTTCATTATTCAATGGGTCACACTTTATTTACTTTGTTGGCCTATTTTCGTCACCCATTTGATAAAATAATATAGTTATGTCACATCTAGTTTTGTAGATCTTTTGATATATTTTTTTAATATGTAATTTTTATTTTTAAACTTTATACCATTTTTTATATAAAATGATTTAAAAATAACTTCAGTCAAACATCGTAACGCACAACGGAAAATTTATTTGTAGACGGAGGGAGTATAATTTTAGATTATTAATGTGAAATCACAAATTTCTTACTTCTTAGAGTACTCATATAAATTTTTTCCTAATAACAACAAGAACAACTCAAAAAGAAAATACAGAGGGGATCAAGGGAGTAAATTTGAATATGGGCCGGGCCAGAGTGAACCAAAACCTGCGGTACCATGGGCTTCTGTTCATCCCTAATGCAATTCCCGGCAATCTGAGCACGAAGGACAATCCGAAGCAATCCGGTCTAACTCTCCCCAATCTCCATCTTCACCGGGTCCAGTTCTCGGCTTCTCGCCGTCAACAACCCTCCACTCGTCCGTGACTTCTACCGCCGGCCTCCGTGGATTCAATCCTCAGGTAAGCTCTGATTTCTAAACTTTTTTTTAGTGTTTTGTAATTTCATTTGAATTGTTTGATTATCGTGTATCACCTCGGTTGTTCCGTTGTTCATTGAATTTATCAAATTAGTTAGTTTAATTTATTTGATTAATTAATTGTAAGTTGTATTTTAATGATAGATTAAAATTTTAATTCTAGTGGTTGAAATGAACACACTCCTTCCTTTTCCCTTTTACGAATATATGTAGCTCAAAATATTTCTAAAATTTTCTAACTACCCACTCTTCACTTTTCAACATTTTAAAACTCTGAGAATTCAAAGTGTAAATCTCTTCGGGTTACGGAGTATGGACTGAGTATAGGTCAAGAATGATATTGTTTGTTTTTTTTAGTATATTGCAATTTAACTCAAGCCGGGTACGCCATGAACTAAAGGTTCGGGGTCGACCATTGGTAAGCTATATGAGACAATTTGTATGGAGTGCAATGTCATCCATAGTTGTTTAAGTGACAAAGTGATTTATTTAGCTAGGATGCGATATATGAGTAAGCATATGGCAACCAATTTATCAAGCTGTAGAGTGGCTTGTTTAGACTTCAGTACCCTGTACTTATTGGGGTCTCTTTTGGCTCTCCAGAAGAGCTTTGTTTAACATGATTGGCTTTAAAGTCTGGTTGGTAATTTTTTTCGTCGTGATAATTATTTCCTAACATCTGTTAGTAGCCAAAAATGGTCCGTGCTTATAAGCTGAAAGGGAAGAAGAGGAAAGCGAAAGAAGAAAATTATGACAGGGAAGATATAGTCGAGGAGTGTTTGGCAGATGAAACAATCGAAACCATCAAAAGAGCCAAGAGTAATGTTACGGAAGAAGACGAAGAGGAAGCAGCAGAGGCGGTAAATCTACTATCTGGTATTCCAGTTGTCTCAGCTGAGCAAAGTAAAAAACCTTCAGTTATTTTTATTCTAGAGAGGGCATCTTTGGAGATTGCCAAAATCGGAAAGGTTTGCCTGAGCTCTGAACCTTGGGATGTTTATTCCCTTTTAAAGTATCTATTTGGTGTGGTGGTTGACATTGTTTCTCTATGGGTACAGAGTTACCAACTTCTCAACTCGGATGAGCATGCCAACTTTCTGAAAAGAAATAACCGAAACCCGGCTGAATATAGGCCGGACATAGCCCACCAGGTGAGTTAATTTTCTATTGGATGCCTGAGATTACTGATTTTATCTCGATGGTCTTATTGAGTCAATTTAGTGGCTGTGCTGTTGTTGAAAGTTGAAACAATCTCTTATGAAACTGTCGCGTTGATGTTTTGCCTTTCCGCTTTTAAAAGCTGCAAATACTGCCTTGTTTAGTGCATATCTTTGGACTTTAGTTCCATTCTAATTGAATTTGGGATATAAGATTGCAGAATCTCCATGTGTGTGTGTGTATAACTATATATGCAAATTTTGTGTTCTTGTTTGTGGCTGGAAGTGATGATTTTGACTGGTTTCTAAGACTTTTCTAATAACTAGGTTTAATCCTATCAGGCAATGCTTATGATTTTAGATAGCCGGTTAAATAAGGCTGGGAGATTGAAAGCTCTGTATGTGAAGACTGAAAAGGGTGTCCTTTTTGAAGTTAAACCTCATGTTCGTATTCCTAGGACATTCAAGCGATTTTCTGGTATCATGTGTAAGTTTGCAGTGTTCCTTGCTTCAACAATGTTTTCCCCTTAAATTAGTTTTATGAATGAACTTTCTACTTCCAACCCGGCAGATTATGCTCTCTTTTCTAATTTCAGTTGTTATCTCAATGATTTCAGTGCAGTTGCTCCAAAAGCTTAGTATATCAGCTGCTGGTAAGAAAGAAAAACTACTCCGTGTTAGAAAGAATCCTGTTACACAGTATCTACCCGTAGATTATCGGAAAATTGGTATTCACTTGCTCCTCTCCAGGCTTTGTTTGGTAGCTTAATATGCTTATCACAAGATTAAGTATGTTAGACAGGACCAACCGACCAAATCAAATCAAAGTAGAATATTTTATTGATGTAAAACTGTTACAGGATTATTTGTGTTCTCTAAGTATAAATAGAGAACAGACCAACATGACTTTTACTAACCAACACAACTATTACAAACCAACACACCTATTAACAATAGAAACTACCCATAACTGCCTTTTAGAAACTACCCACTGTTTTTTTAATTAATTAAATATGTAAAACACACTAAACGACACCACAC